AGAGAGAGAGAGAGAGAGAGAGAGGGAGAGAGAGAGAGGAGGGTAGTGGGTATTGTGTTATTTTTTCTTAAACTTTTGAATTTGTGTGACACTCGAGTTATCGTTGACAATTTTTTGGCTAGAAAATGAAGTTGGAAGTGAGTTTAGAAGAGACAGGGTCAGTTGGCACAAGTAATGCAAATATTATAATGTATTTTTATCATTATATGAATTGGCGTTTATTTATGTGTTAGTTGAGACGATTCTATGATTGCGTCACTCAATTTTTATTACACGCATGATACTGCATTAAGATTTAAGCATTAATGCAGGATATTATATTATATAATCAACTCCTATGTTAAAGAAAGAGTGAAGACGCGAAACATATAATTTAAAATATCATAGTTTGAAGGACTTTGCTCCCATTGATAAATGGGTGGGGTTTGTATATGGCTGAGGCCCCAAACAATCAAAGTAAGGCGCACCTTTAAATATTGTCGGTATATATATTTTGGTACTGAAAATATTTGTGATGGCTTGAAACTTTACTTTTATATCTAATTTTAAAATTTAAATCTTCAGAAATAGTGTAGTTTGAGCTGATCTATGAATACCTGAAAATTTTTGAAAATTGACAGTTCAGAAATAATTACAAGCTGGACTATTTTTAATACTTGAAATCCATTTTTTATCATGACCACACATCTTGAGGTCGAAATGATCGATTTGATAAATTACTATAATATAATTTCATTTACTGTCCGTTATTGATAATTATTCTTAGGTACCTTGCTTCTAATTTACATGTAGGTTCTTTCTTTTTGACAAAATATCAATAGAGCTTTCTCTTTTGTTTATTTAGTATTCTTTTTTCATTAGTTTCTAATTATATTGACTCATAGAATCATTAATGTGTTACTTTTGTAGGTGAATGGTGGAACGCCAATGTGGTGGATTTAGAGGGAAATTTTATTCGCACAGGCAGCGCCAACATATCTGACGCATTCACCATAAATGGGAGGCCTGGAGATCTCTACCCATGCTCTAGTGGTTAGGGTTTCTCTCTTTTAACATCTTTTAAATTTTAGAAATAACCAATAAATCTTTTATTTCTTCACAATAATATGACCATTTCAACCGATGATCCACTATAGAGCACAACAAATAATCAATATTTGGGTCCTGTTTGGATGTACTTGTTATTACTATTAATCATGATAATGAAGTATTTGTTGTTCGCTAGTACCTATCACAAAGTTTTTTGAAATAAATTTATAGACAAATTTACATATAAGTTTATCCTTTTGAATAGCTATTTTTACTTTATTGAAAATAATTTACTAAAAATCACTTTTTTTACAAAAAGTAGCTGAAAATCACCCAATAAACTTAAATTACTAATTAATTTCATACATGATACAAACTACATATCAAACAACTTACAAAATAATATTCTTCACCCAACTTTTTTTATTCTAGAATGTATTAAGTTTAGATAAAATAGTAGATTCAAGATGACATGAATTGTCATCCAAATAGGCCCTTGATCTAGTAAAGCACGCCCAAATTTCATGTAACCAAGCCATTACAAAATTCCATAATATGCTAATTTTTCTTTTTGCCTTTTTCTTGTTGCTTTACATTGTAAATGTCTACAGGTACATACAAGCTCAATGTAGATCCAGGAAAGAAATACCTCCTAAGGATCATCAATGCTGCACTCAATAACCAGCTCTTCTTTAAAATTGCTAACCACAACCTCCTGGTGGTCGGCGTAGATGCCTCGTACACCAATCCTTACAAAACCGATGTCGTAGTCGTTGCCCCCGGCCAAACAGTCGACGCCCTCTTAGTAGCAAACCAGCCTCCAGCAAGCTACTACATGGCTGCCAGGGCATACATAAGTGCGCCAAACACCACTTTCGATAGCACGACCGCAACCGGAATATTGGTGTACAAAACCCCTAACACTACAAAAGCTTCACCAATTATGCCTAGTCTCCCCGCTTTCAATGATACACCAACTGCCCATAAGTACTACACTGACATCACTGGCTTAGTGAGTAGACCTAAGTATATGGTTCCTCTTAATGTGGATGTGAAGATGTTTATAACAGTTGGATTAGGATTGTCTCCATGTGCTCAATGCGCTAGGGGATCTGGCGTTGCTGGTAGCATGAACAATGAGTCATTTGTGATACCAAATAAGACATCTATGCTAGAGGCTCAATTCTATGGTACAAGTGGGATTTTCACTAAGGATTTCCCTGATAGACCACCCCTTGTGTTTGATTACACAAACTCTAGTTTGCCAACAGTTCCATTTTGGTTTCCAAATAAGAGTACAAGAACAAGGAGTGTGGCCTATAATAGCACAGTGGAGATGGTGTTCCAGAACACTGCCATTGTAGCTGTGGAGAACCATCCTATACATTTGCATGGGTTTGATTTCTATGTGTTGGCTCAAGGATTTGGAAACTTCAATGAGACACTAGACAGGGGGAAGTTCAACTTGGTTAACCCTCAAATGCGTAATACGATTGCAGTTCCGGTTGGTGGTTGGGCAGTGGTTCGATTCGTCGCGAACAATCCTGGTAAGGAGCCTCTTTCACTTGATCAACGATGCAGTCAAATTTCAAAAAAAAAAAAAAGAAAAAGAGAAAGGAAAAAAAGAAAAGAAAAATGCATTCATTTATATTTTTGTTTTCTGACCCAACCTGGGTCTGGGTCTGGTCTGAATCCTAACCTTGGACCCAACAGTGGGTAGTGTTGCTTCAGCCGGGACCTGCCTTTCTCTGGTCATGTTCCGTGTCAACCTTAACCTTTTGTGTGTGTGTGTTATATGATACTTTCTGGGTCCGGATCTAGGTTCTAGGCCTGACAACGGACTTGGACCCAGCTGGGTTGGGAACTGGGTCAGGCCTGAACCCCAAGTTGGACCTTACCACCCTACAATTCTACCCCAATTTCTGCATGCTAATTTAAATGAAGATGTAAATAAATAAATGGAGTGTGCCCTATTAGAATTCTAACCCTAATTTTGGCATGTGTAATGAAATGTAGGTGTGTGGTTGCTGCATTGCCATCTTGATGTGCACTTGCCAACTGGTCTGGCTACTGCCTTTGTGGTGGAAAATGGACCAACCCCTTCATCTAAGCTCCCCCCTCCCCCAGCTGATCTGCCCAAGTGCTAAGCTCTTCAGCTAAATAAATTCATATTCAAAGTTTACTGCTTTCATCTCAATTATTGAAGGACTATTAAAACTCTATACTTTAAGGGTGCTAGGAAAATAATACTGCAAAAGACGGATGGAACCTGAAGCCTCAGAATATCCCATATATCCCTCTCACCATGTATTTGTCGAAGTCAAGTGTTTTTTTTGTTTTCTGCCCATTGAATAAACTGTAAACTAGGATAGTTATTGTTTCTTGTGGATTCAAAATTCTTGAAGATGCATTTTTTAATGTATGCTTAGTCTAAAGGGAAAAATAAACAGAGCAAGCGTACTTGGAACATTAAAAAAATAGTATGAAATTGATGTAAGCATTATTCCTTTGTGCTGGCTTTTTCTTTACAATATATATATGAGAGAGAGAGAGAGAGTTGAAAAAAGAGCCAGACGAACATGCTACTTGCGGTAAAAAGGATCACGGCGCGTATACTATGCTCCCACATGGGCATTACTGTACATATACTCCCTCAGTTAAAAGACCTATTTGTGAGAATTGTTGTAGTTTGAAATTTTAGGAACCATCTAAGGACAACCAGATTATTGTTTTCGAAAGAAAGAGTTTGAGTTTTATTTTTTTGACCCTTAGATGTCGCCCTTCAAAAATTGGACGGTCCCTGTTCTTGAGACTTTTTTTTCCAGTTCATACAGAGTTCAATTTGGATACTTTTTTAATGAGGTGAATCTATAGGTTGAAGAAGTTACATCCCGGAAATTTTGGCTCCTGAAATTACTCCCATATTGAATTTTACCCAATGAAGTAAATAGACAATATACTCTCGTGGGAGTATAATAACTTTTGACAAAGGATAAAGTACGGTTTGGGTAGAGGAATTGCTTAATTATTGAATCACTCTCTATATTGGCTTTGGAAATAAAGTGGTTTAGTTAAAGAGGAAGATTAGAAGTTCTTGTATTTTGTAGCAGAATTGGAAGATCCAATGGCCCTAAGGCCTAGTGAAACATACAAAAGATTTAGGCCAAAAGTTTCTATAGTTCAGCTGGAGCACATACTCAATTCACTCCTACGAGTGAAACCCTATTGAAAACTATTTTTAGGCTCCTCCTACCCTAACAAAATAAAATAGCATAAAACAAATAAAATTCACACTTTTTATATGCCTGGAAAAAATAACATCGACATAGACCTTCCGGCTTTCGAAAGCTCTGATCAAGGTCGTTAGGAACTTGAAATCAGTATGTATTATATTTTTGAACACCACATCTGGTTATTTCAATTTGAATTCTAGATTTTTTTTTTGACAATAAGAGTTTCAGAATGGATATTTGTTTCACGAGGTCTGGACCGCATTTCTACATATGCAGTCCAAAAATTGTAAATCCATCCTAAAAATAGATGCAAGTAGGTATTCCATCTAAAAACAATGGAAACTAAAGGTCCAAATATTTTCTTACTAAAATTATTATTTTTAATTTTTAAAATATATTTATTTTTTTATATTTGTGATCTCCATGTTAGAGATTGCATGTCCTTAAAAATTAAGTCTTAAAATCCATCTAAAAAATAGATTTATTACGAGGTCCACATTTCTAAATATGCCAAAAAAAAAAATTTTGTTCTAGGGTGTAGCTATGCAGTATGCTCCTGCAATAGTAGACATTGCATCAATCAACATTTAGAATAATAAAAGGAAGGGCAATGCTTTAGAATACTTCTTAGGCTTTTGGGGTACACCCAACTCGGTCTTGTACCACCCCCTCAGGTGTCCTTCAAATTTAACAAATCCAAAGGCCCAATTCTCTTTAAGTGATCTAGAATGATATCGAGAGAATTTTACTAATTGGAAAAGGGGTAATTAGAGATTTCCAAACTCTCTATGTCTCACTTGTGCAAATATTTAGGGCACGTTTGTTTTCGCTCATGTTAGGTGTCGGAATATTATCACACAAATTGGTTTCAAAGCATTGTTTTACACCAATTGACAGTTAATTGATATGAAAATATTTCCACACCTAACTAATCATATTAGATAGTTTTTTTTCAGACATGCAAACTACACATACCGTTAGAAAGAGAAATATTCCCAGCATAACAAACAAATATCACAATCTAAACAGTTGTTTTTGTCCATTGAACATTACTTCTAGGTATTTGGGCATAAAGTTGGATGCAATAAATATGTGAGCTTAGGTATTTCGGCTTTAATGTGACGAGCTTGTGATATACTGGGCAATATTTACCCATATTCAAGTCAAACAAACATAGAAAAAGACTAAAAAAATTCAAGGGTTTAGCTTAGATGCATTTATCAAGTGGGTCCAAAATAAACTGCCACTAACCTTTAAAAATGTCAAACTTTACAAATATGCAAAAATCCAAATATTGGAGAATGCATCTAGCCTAGATGCACCTATGTGCTTTTGTCATGAAAGCCAGACTGGCAAATGTCTAGACTAAATCTCTATGGTTTTAGATCTACTTGTTTTTAATCAATTTTTGAGTTTAAAATTTTATGATTATAAATAAAAATAGACTTTTAGATAATCATGCGAAGTCTCTACATCAAAATTATATGTTATGATGAAATTTGGAGGTGTGCCTTAATTGGATTGTTTAATATTGCAACCTTATAGAAACCACATCCGTTGTGGAATCTATAATCTCTTGTAAGTTTTCACTATTTCTCCATGATGGATAGAATTTTTTCGAATAATGTCGGATTAAACTCAATCACCATTGAAATCATCATAGAACTTCCTACTTTCCAATATGGAGTATACTAAAGAAAAGATAATGGATAGGCGTTTGTTGAGTTGGCCGACTCACACTATTTTTGTACAGTCTTCCTATAAAATATATCTCAAAGATGTATTTTCGATCCAAATTTTTAGAGTTCGATAATCTCAACCATGACAATGATCTAACTTTGGAAATTTTCTTTTCCAAAAGATATAAATGTTATTTTTTGAATCACTTTCTTCACCATTTATTTTAACTTTTATTAGATATAACATTTTTCGACATCATTTTAGAGATTGACGTTAGATAAATAAGGGACCTCAGGGCAATAGGTGAGTTGGGAAATTCACCAAAACGGTCTTAGAGAGTAATTTGGTCCCCTCAATATCAAGAAGCCTCACATCAATATGCCCCCATACCATTTTGAACTTACCCTTACCTGTCATACGTTTCTAAAATCTCATATGTTCTTTACATGGATTTTATAAGTAAAATTAAGTTCAAATGACTCATTTTAGATTTCTAGAGATGACAGAGGAGGTGGAAAATAAAGAAGGGTCTGGGGAATCCAGAAGCTTTAGAAAAAGAGAGGAGGAAATGAAAAGGTTGCAGTGGTACCCAAGTTTGACAAATGTGGCTTTCCCTTTGGCTAAAGTCCTATCTACAAGTATTTTTAGGACCTTAAATTTTGGAGATATAACCTCATCAATCGAACGACGAACCTCTAACACGTATAAAATAAACTTTTATAGGTGCTTTATAGGTATTTGGAAAAGTAACACCTAAGATGGAATAGGGACCGTTCAATTTTTGGATAGTGAGAATTAAGTTTCAAGGAAATCAAAATCCAATTTATTTTATTTAGGAAAATTATTTCATGCGGCAAGGACTGCATTTCTACATTGCGGCTCCTGAGGTATAAAGCATCCATTTTAAAAATGGATGCAAATAGGTGTTCCATTTAAAATTAATTGAAAACTGATTTTTTCTTAATAAAAATTATTATTTTTTACTTTTCAAATTTTATTTATTTTTTCACACTCATGATCTCCATGTTAGAGATTATATCCAAAAAACCATCTCAAAAATAGATTTTTAAAAAGTGACACATTTATACATGGACTTATAGAAAGCGTGTCCTTTTATTTATGCTGAAAATATTCATATCAGATCAAAAAAATTCTCCAAAGTATGTCAGTATGTCCTAGAGAGTAAATGAATAATGCTCTACCGCGGGCACTCTTACATTCACCCCACGGGGTAAAAACAATCTAGGCTAGGACACCAAATTTTCGGAGGTGTAACCTCTTCAACTTATAGACCAACCTCGCAAAGAACTTTCATAAGCATTGATAAGGGGGAAAGGTTTATGTGTGACCTCAAGTAAGTTATATGTGACCCTACTTCTTAGCCGTTACATCTGAATCGACCGCTACGATTGTTCATGCTATAATGTCACGCTGAACACTATTTTATCTTTCACGTTATTTTTCTATAGAAAAAAGTTTGGATGAAAATTAAGGTGTCCCATCATAAACTTAGGGATAACCTAAAAAACATACAAAAAATATTTCCATAAAAATAAATGACCAAAATGCTCCTAAACTTTCCAGGGTTATTTTGGTAATTTTTTTGCCATTGGGAATATTGTTTTTGTTATTTTCATGTGTGCTTGTCAGATATATACATGCTCCAAATTTTGCTTCTTTATTGAATAAAAATAAAAAATAAAAAACTTTGGGCCGTCAAATCAAGATTTGATGGTTAAGAGCCTGGTTATGATATTATTACTCAAGTCATCTCAACCATCTACTCAGATCTGACGGCTGAGATCAGGGGTCACATATACTATATATGTGTATATGTGGGTGAGGTTATATAGAAAGTTTTCCCTTGATTAGGTACATAAGAAATAACAACTTGAGATTCAAAATTGGCAATGGGATCTAAGCTGTTCACCATTATTATCATCCAACTCTTATCCAATTTATTTGGGGTCGGCTATATAAATCGCGTTCAACCATTTTTCTCTATCGAGGGTCAACTCAGTAAGATCAAATGTCACCATACATTTTCTCACTACTTTTATCCATGTCTTTTCTGACCTTCTTCTTGCCTTTTTATAGCCTTTCACTTGAATAAAATTGTACCTCCTAACAGATGTTATATTAGGCTTACAAGGCATATGCCCAAGACTCTTACTTCTACTTTCCACCATCTTATCGCTTATTAAAACCAAAATAGGGTCTAAGCTTTTAAGAAATCAAAACAGTTTTGCTCTAAAAACAATGATCTAGTGATTTCAAAATGGAATTCAGAAAGTTAAGATTGAGAAAAGTATGTTGAGTAGATATTTATCCCTAGGGAGTCAATGTATGGTGTGCTCTTGCAATATGGCAATTGTGATTTGAGAAAATATAGATGTGGTACACAATGCACCAGATAGATATTGATTTGATTTGAGAGTGTATTATGGCAAATCCCCAAGATCTGAGTCCGAGCAGTTAGAATTAGAAT